GGTAGTATCAGTTCGTTTGAAAGGACGAATATCAATGGTCAGTTTAGTGTGGATAAGCCAAGTGTAAAGGAGAGAGTAATTGTTAAATTGACTTGCACGAATAAAGGCATTTCTAGTTTCAAGTTACTATTTGAATGTTATTATCTTTGGTGAATTACTCTGTTTCTATACTTGGTTGATGAGATATGTCGTGTGTTTGTTGGTCATCTATATTCTACGATACAATGACATGGGCGTGTTGCCGTTCAGATTTGAGGATATAGCTGATAGAAGGAAGTTAGCAAATGAACTCTGCGACGATTTTCCAACCTAGGGCGTCAACCTGAGAAGGGTTGTAGGCGTACTGGTGTAAGTCCTACAGTTCTTCAAAGGGTAGCGCATCAATGAGCAGTCCAATGTGCTTGGTGTATGATCTTGTACATATGTTCATATTGTATATACTGAATTGATATCATCTGTCATCTAGCTGTTGGTAATTCTGTTTGTGTCCGGACGACTTCCACTTGGATCATCAACCTGAGAAGGAATGTAGGCGTACTGCTGTAAGTCCTACAGTTCTTCAAGGGTAGTTTGTCATGCCGGAATCCACAACATTTGATGTGTTGATTGTACATATGTTTGTGTTAAATAGTTGTGTGAGTTCCAATTGATGTAATTGTTGGTTAATCTTGTTTGTGTCCGGACATTCCACAACTTACAATCGTCAACCTGTGAAGGGTTGTAGGCGTACTGGTGTAAGTCCTGCAATTCTTCAAAGGAATTCCACCAAGACATGATCGCGAGGTTGTTTGTACTGTTTGTATATACGTGTGGTGTGTCATATCAATTGGTGTTTTTGGATTCATTGTGTTTACTTGTTGTTTTCGTACCTTGTTGTTATTGCGTAATTTTGTTAAAATTTTCGTCGTGATTATTTCTGAAGTTGTTTCGAGTCTTCTACATCCATGAATGAATTGATTGATGTTAAGGACAGCAGATGGGTCGTATACGCCGGGGAGGCTAGGCTATTGCTGAGAATGAAATGCACACGGAGATAATTGTTAGCTGCGGTCCGACACGCCGGGGAGAAAGAGTGTAAACGACTGAGGCTCGCATGCGTCACCGCTATTAGAACTGAGGCAGAATGAGTGACAAGCGATTTCAGTGGTAATTGGTAGTGAGTAGATAAGAGGATGTGCGTAGAGTATCGTGAGGTGGTGCCATGGTCACTTTGCATTCTGCAAGAGTCATTCTAGCAAGTGGCGATTGTGTTGCAAGATGTCAAGAGGAGGTCTCTGTCTGGAGGCGCAGGTCGTCATTGATGTGTGAGATTGTGCTGTGGGTATGCTTGTGGTGTGTTGGCTTTTCTGTTTGTTTTCCATTTCAGCTCTGTCCGTGTGACCCAGGTTCTCGCAATGGCATCCAAGTCAACGTGCATTGGTCGTGAAGGAAAAAAGGGTTGGATCCCTTTTTTGCCGGGGAGTGTCAATGGAGTTGAAGATTGAACGATCAATTCTTGGTTGTTTGCTCAAAATCAACTTCCCCAATTTTCGCGGAGGCATCAATACGACAGTCATCGTCTCATCGGTCGCTGTTCAGAAAGAAGAGTAAAATATCGTCAGAAGTAATATAACGATTTATTATTGTAATATTTGTTTACAGACCTTAGTTCGCTTATTCCTTTTATATGTTGGTGTAACAATAAACAAATCTCAAGCGGCAGATCGGTGTTTTGGTTTTTGCGTCCGTTATAACTAAGCGTTTCCGAAATCTTCGAAGAACAGCGTGGGCCCGAGCGTAGCGAGAGCTGGGCATTAACGGTTTATGAGACGTGATTGACACCAACTAAACTGAAGTATTTGGTTCTCGACATAGTAAATGATTCAGTGAGATCAAGTTAATGTGATAAATCCGGATCCTTCCCTATAGGTCACAGAAGTTTCATGGGTTCCTCACAGTTTCGAGATATACTACAACAATACCGAAACACTATTATGCCTTACAGTATATGTGGCACTCTTGAAAAACCGAAAATTATGGCAAAAATACGACAGCACTCCTATGTTGTAAGTCAGTGTCTAGCTCTTATCTAACGGCTGATCCGCCAATAAACTGGGACCAATTATCTGTTCAGAAGAGTCTAATATATCAACGCGCCTTTTCAGCAGAGTTATTAAGGATAATCGAAACTGTGAAAATACGTACGAAGGCCGTAGGTCGATACGCCTCATATTTAGTTTTCACCAGTATGTTATGTTTTACATGACAGTTATTCAATCTAATAACATAAAACTCTATTTAATATGATATCAGACTCATATACGTAAGCAAATGTCCACGTCATACTACACCAATCCTCACATTGTCCCTGAAAGACTTTCAGAAACTATGCGTAATCACTAACAAGAAAAACCAGAACACAGATTGGTGACGCCGGAATCCTTTGTTCTTACGCCAATATGTAACCAACAGTAAGGTTATTACACACAATGTCCAAGAAAAAATAGTATAACAATAATACTTCTGATAGTTTTCTCTCTTCCAACGAATAGCGAACGATGAGACGATGACTGCAGTATTGATGACTCCTGCGAAAAATATGGAGGAGTTGGGTTTGAGCAAACAACCATGAATTGATCATTCAATCTTTACCTCAATCCACAACGTAGGTTTATCTCAAACATTTGAGGTTTGAAATGCAGAGCAGAATATCTTAGATTGGATACTATTCAGTTACTAGTTTAATGTGTCCTGCCTTATCTTCTACACAGACTTAATTCTATCTGTCAGTGAGGAATAAAAATCGCCTAATTTGATGTGCCCCTGAAGTTAAACATTTTTACGTGGGATTCCTATTTCACCAGAAACCTCTTATATTCCTTTATATTCTATGCACTAATGGGAAATTATTTCTGGCAGCGATGGGATGTCTGAAAATATTCCATTGTCTTCTTTCATGGAAAAAAACCGTAGAATAGCATTTCCATGTCAAATTAAGCATTGTTATTAAAAGACATTACCAACTGAATAGGTGCGTATTCTGAGAACATTTTCATAGATATGCGAACACTTATCGGGGCATTTCGTTGACACAACTATAATTCCTGAGTCAGAATACAACGCGTTCTCACATGGAAAAGAGGTTTTCGGCATCCTCGGTAACAAAATTCACAAATCCAGTGAACATTTTCATCCCACCTCTATTTGTTGGATACTGATTTTGTCACATTAAATCTCCGTGATAGACTCAATGCCAGTAGTGAAAATGTGATCTCAGTATTAGTAATAATAAATATAAAACTATAAATCACAGTAACGAAATATCAGGGAATATTTAATGGATCTGGAGCGCATGTTGACGTAAAAGTGACATGATATAATCAGATAGTATTCAGCGCTGATTTAGAGTGTGACTAGCAATACGCAGTAAAAAGGAGGCATTATTATCATAACTTTATCTCAAACGTCGAAACTGAAGATTATTCACGTGTAGAACTTGTTTTAGGGGATTCATGTGCTTATTTGTTTAGCTGATCGCCTCACTCGCGGTATGAGGTTTTGAAAGAGACGGATCTGCGTCCACATTCAAATTGTGAGTTCGCGCGGCAATTCAACTTGTCTATTTGAGGACGTCGAATTCGAAATAGGCTACAGTCAGTTTCTAGGTCATGATGAGTTCCTGCGTCGGCTAGTTATATGTTTTCGTGAATTCGTTTTCCATTGAATTTTAAAGGTTTTTCTGGATGTTTTGCTCATTTTGCAGTGTGTAGGTCAGTTTGTGTCACAGGGTGCTACTATTTAGCTTATTTTTAGCCTGAAGTTCACAGTTATTATGTTGGTAGTCAAGGTTTATGGTAAACCTGCAATCATTGAGCTAATTAACGTATACTATGCTAATATAGTAACATATACTATGCTAATAATAGTAACAGTAGACTCCCTGACTGTTTTGCCATTGTTTGACAGTGAACCTGTGCGCTGATTTTTCAGCATGAGTGGCACTAAATCGAACCTACTGGGTTTGCTTATCAACGTTGTTTCAGCCCTCACAGGACATATTAAGGATGAACTAGCGTTACTCCAGAGTGGAAAGTTTTGATTCAGCACGTAGCTGTCTTTTTAGCACGACCTGTGTCATTTCATAACATGGTGGGTAAATATGATCTTCAGTTACCATAAAAAGGCATTATCGAGGAATAGGTTAGAATAAATTTAGAATTGTTTTAAGCTTGGTGGTGCTGTGGTCTAAGTGGTAAATCGTATTAATCACCGTTATTCAGGATATGCTATGAACCGGAAATCCTCAGCTGAAAAACGTATGAATAAGACACAGATCGGTGTAATTTATAACTGACTCCAAATTGCTTTCATCACGAAATAATCAACCAAAGTATGCTTTAAACTGTTGCTCTCAACCGTTTGAAGGGAAATTTACTTGATTTATGCTGACCTAGTATGCACAAATCCCAAAGGTCATTGAATTGACAACTTGAAAAAGTAGATTAGTTAATACATACATTTATCTATATGTACTAATTAAGGATACATTAAATTTCTAGAAATTGTAGTTAAATTATATTCTCCTAGTAATCAAAAATGCGTACATCCTATTTTGGGCCTAAAATAAATGCATCGAAATTATTGTTGATTTATATTCAGTTACTAGACATTCTCATACATCTTAATGTACTTTAAACACCACCAATGCATCCAAATAGCGTGTGACTATCACACTACACTCATACCAAAAAAATTAACACGCCATTATATAACGGTAAGGTAAGCCCTAAATCATACTGACTGTAAATTTCCGTATCAAAATAAAAAGATTACCGCTTTAACTTATATTTTAGACCAATAGGAAGCCAGCTAATCAACAGCCAACCAAAATCTGCCTATATCTATTTTCGTATATCAGTGACAAATCCACTAATTCTGTTATTTTTATTTCTGATGCTGTGGTGGATGTCTTATATTCTCATATACTGATTCACTTTATTATTCGCTATTCTCCTGCAGTTATGGCACAGACACCTGTCAGCCTTAGGGTCACACTTCCCGGGAAGCAAAATTTTGTTGGCGGATCTGGATTTGTTCAAGTATTTCAGACCCAAGCGCGTTCAGATGCTCAAAACGTTGAACAAAGGCCACAGAACATGAAGACGATAACAACTATCCGTCCATTTGTCCCAGCAGTCTCTGGTATGGCCATAAACACTAATACTGCTGTACAATATGTGAGAAATACTGCAGAAATACCAGGTGGGTTGGCCATAGTTTACATCTCATTGTTTTCTTTAACGGATATTCTGTTTTTTCGCCGCATTTTTTCGTGGCTTCAAATTAGTGACAATAGTTCTTCCTGGTGTTGTAGAAAGCAGTAGTTATTCAATTTTGTGAAAATTTTGTGTATGGTCGTCTAGTTAGTGTGTTAAACATGGGGTCAGGTTCCCTGATGCAATGGCTTTACTTCAGTTCCGATTCTTTGGCTTCGAATATATATATATATATATAGGTTTATACTAACGAGTATCGAATGAGTGGCAGTACTAAGTTAGGTTGCATAACTTGGTTTCTTTTAAGCAGCAGGGCCTCATAAAGAAGGAACAGCTATGAAGTTTATGCAGCCTGGTGTATGTCCGAATCAAAAACTGTTTGTGAGCGTACGTGATGTTTGGTGTGCGAAACAAAGGTACGTGCATGTACGTGTACATTGCATTAGAATACATAAACTTCAGTGCTGTTATCATTCTTCATTGTATCATTATTTTATTATTGTTCCCGTGGGTTCCTAGTGGAACATAGGGCTTCAACTGCACGTCTCCACTTGCTTCTGTCTTCTGCTTTACTTTTCATCTGCATCCATGTTTGTCCATACTGTTTCAGCTCCTCTTCACACGATCTCCTCCATGTCACCCTTGGACGTCCCACTCTCCTCTTTATTTTCGGGTTCCACTCGAGGGCTTGGCGCGCGGTGTCATCCAGTGGGCTCCTCAGCGAGTGTCCGATCCATCTCCACTTTCTCCTGCATATTTGTTGGGCAATTGGTTCTTGCTTTGTTTGTTCCCATAATTCCTTGTTGGTGATTCTTTCCGGCCATCTGATCTTCAGTATTGAGCGAAGACAGTTGTTAATAAAGGTCTGCAGCCTTTTGGAAATATACTTTGTGACCAGCCCGCCAAGTTTCTGATCCGTATAGAAGAACTGACTTGACATATGTGTTAAGAATCCAAATTCTGTTGTTGATGCTGGCTGAGTGACGAAGATTTCCAGAATGGTTTCAGGTTGGTGAATGTGTTTCTCGACTTGACATCCTCGTCCGTTCTTCCTGTAGTTGAGACAAAGCTACCTAGATAAGTGAATGAAGTAACCTCTTTCAAATCCCTCCCGTTGATGGTGATTGGCGTTGCATGTTGCTGCTGTTGTTGTTGTTGGTTGGCTGGTTATTTTCATAACCTCCGTCATGTCTATGTTCACCTGGAGTCCTGTCTTTGCTGGCTGCTTCTTCGACCAGTTTGTCGGATTTCTCTTGTAAGTCTTCGATTTTGTGTGAGATCAAACATAAATCATCCGCAAAATCCAGGTCTTCTAGGTTATTCTTTAGTGTAATACTGCAAAAATGCATATTGTTGGAATGTTGCAGGAGTTACAATTTTTTTGGGAAAGGGGAAGATATGCAGTATTTCAAACCGTGACCAAGGTAGCGAAACTAGATGTTTACCAATATTTCTAGACTAGTAAGTTTGAATCATATGGTGATCTCATGGATTTCTTTGCAGAGTTTTGTAATGACACTGAGTTAGAACAAATTTTGTTGGAGATGTAGGTTGTAGACCGCTTTGCATAACTTAAATATAAACTTTTGTTTCAGTCTTTAAAATGATCCAAGGATTCTTCTTACATCTCTTGCAGTATCTTAATCACTATCGCGTTTAGAGGGAAATCCATAAATAAAGTACCTAATTTGAAATAAAAGTAATATTGCTTTAATATCGTTTGTGAACTAAGGCAGCAGGTATTCGGCTGCATTTAACAACAGTTTGGCAAGATGAGCGTATGTATAGTCATATAGGCTCGCAGCTATTGCACCAACATTTCGAAAGGGATGCTCAAGTTCCGCAAACTAGAGGTTTTCCGTACTTAACCTTATTCTTATGTTTGTAAATAACGAATTACTGCGATGCTGGTAAATCATTTGGCTACCAGTTTTGAAAGGAACGAAGCTGTTTGCTACCGCATTATCATCAGTGACACTTCATCACCTGCCATTTGAATTGATGAAATAAATTTGTAGTCCGTGACCTCAGATTGCCGGATGTTATCAGGTGCGTGTATTTTGTTATATTTCATTAGGGTAGTCCATGTGTTTTAACAGTTATTATTAATTTTCTACTTTAGTCCTCGGTGCTCCTGGCGCTTTTGTTGCGGCTCCAATGAATCGAACGTTCACCCCATTTGTTAATCCAGTCATGAATTTAAATCCTGGCTTGATTACATCTCTTCCTGGTGGCCCTGTAGGCGGACAGGGGCAATTAGGTGGTCCCCTCTCCAGCCTAGCGAATTCACGCAAACCTTGTAATTGCACGAAGTCACACTGCCTTAAATTGTACTGTGAGTGCTTTGCACAAGGTCAACTTTGTCAGAACTGTAATTGCCACAACTGCATGAATAACCTAGCTTATGAAGAAGAACGGGGGAGAGCTATTAAAATGACTTTGGAACGAAACCCTACTGCATTTCATCCGAAAATTGGTCGTGGTGAAGGTGAAAGAAAGCATACTAAAGGATGTAACTGCAAGCGTTCGGGGTGTTTGAAAAACTATTGTGAATGTTATGAAGCAAAGATAAGCTGCTCAGATCTGTGTCGCTGTCAAGGTTGTCGCAATACCGAGGATAGCGTAGAGAGGCGCTCCCTTATGCGTTTGGCTGCAATGGGAGTCTTGAGGTCAAGACAGCCTTCTTCCTTCAAAAAACACTTACTAAAACCTGTATCGGAAACGTAAGTTCTTCTCACTTCTTTTAACGTTTTTTTCTTTTCACGTTGTAAAAATGATTAACTTGGAATAATTGCATACTATGTTTAAGTAGTAACAAACTCAGTTATATTCATGGTAAGCTTGGAGCACTTCTTACTGGTTTTTTGTCTATATTTTCTTATATCTATGATGCGGGTCGACGCTCACTATATACTTCAGCGTGCTGCAATGCACTAAAAATGGTTCCTCTTATCAAGGTCATCGACAGAAATTTTTTGTATTGTACAGATGGTTGGAAGCAGTGACGTCTCAGTGATTCTTAATCACTCGAACCTGCGTAAGTTCTGCAGTTGTCATCATCATTCTAGCTTGAAGCAGAATTTCCAGCCCCAGCAACACGCATTTCAAACCATCGTAAGACCGATGATTTCTCTAAGTTCGACCTCATTGTGTGTAGGCGTAGTGTACAGTTCAAAGCATCTCGAAGTTATTTGCGGAGAACTTGAAAGTGAACTCCCATTACGTTTCTTAAGTAAATTCTGTAGTTTTGCAAAGACCAAGTACGATGTCAATTTCCTCATCATATTTAAAGAATGTATATAAGGGGATGTAATTCCTGAAAAATTAAGCAGTCTTTCTTAGAATTATTTCCCACTAAGCTCACTAAAACAATAACTTCTTGGTTAGTTGTCAAATGTGTATAACTCATACCTATGGAAGTAACCAAAAGCAGCTGTGTTGAAAATTGCATGATGATTATTTCTCAAAGTCGGATATTTATTAGGAGCATTCTGCTGCCCACGATCACTTCTGGCTAAAACGGACTCTATTTAATCTGCGCTCGTTTCTTAGAATCTGCACAGGCGACATAGCGCAAAAGTGTACAGTCATCCAGGTACTTCAAAATAGACAAAGTGTTAACAGATTGGTCTGATGGAATTGTCCGTTCAAAGGATGGTAATTTGACACTTATTTCAGCACCAAACTGATTGGTGGTACCCCGTGTTTTTGAATAGTAGCTTGAGCAAACATCGTTCAGCTTATCACTGTGCAAAGCAAATGAAGTAAATAAGGTTTGTTTTCTACAGTCCAACCCATACAACTAACAAAATCGCAGATAAATTTTGGAGTATTCGTTGGTTTAGGGCTCAGTACGCAAGGTGAATAGTCTGCTCTTAGTAAAGTAATCTATCCCGGATTACACAAGGTCATGCACTAAGATTCGGTACTCTTGGGTGTGACCATATAACACGTTTATTTACACCATTTATATCTAGTGAGCCAGTTATCCTTATTTGTTTTTGCTTCACCTAGGCGGTCTGCATAAAGCCTGGGTTACCAAAAAAAACCTCCAACAATATATCACATATAATTTATCCTATTCACATAGTTTAAATCTGGTAAAATATGAACTAGTAGTATCGTTTGTTCTGGCCAGCGCTTTATTTATTTATTTAAACGCATAAAAACTTGGTACAATGTGGCACTAAGAAGGATGCGCCACACAATAATAATATAACATAGATCAAAAGAAAAAAAGAAGGAAAAGAAAAAATATAAGTACAGAACGGATAAATTGTCAATAAGCCTTTAATTAAAGAGGCTGGACGAAGAGGAAATATGCAATAAACACCGCTGAGAATTCTGTACATTATGCAAAGAGGTTTAGAACCAAGTTATTACTATGATTATTTTCCTTCCCATCTTAAAAGCGGCATCATGCTACGGTCCGCGAGTGACTTCTGCATCATTTTTAAATGTGAAACTGATAAACACTAAACAATATGTTTTTTGAAGGTACCTGTTTTTTAACGTGCTTAGCAACGGTGAATTGTTTTCCACTGATAAGTATCAGGTACAACGATTGCTTTAGAAAATAACTTGAGAATTTATTTATACATGTCTCATACAGGTTGCCGCACGTATTCTTCACTTGGGAAGTGATTGAGGCAACAGCTACTTGTATAATGGCCCAGGCTGAAGAAATAGATCGTCGTGATGTACCTCCAGCGGCAAATGAGCGAATACTTCTGGAAGAATTTGGACGCCTTATTGATCGTGTGGTGGAAGCGTCTGTCAAAGTAAGTCTGATGCGGTGTTACAGTTAGTCGTTTTAAATAGCTAATGGAATTAAAGATATGCTGTAAACCACAATTAAACCTACGAATGTCTTTTGCTTTCAGGTTCATATACATCCGTCGAGTGGCATCCACACCTCGGCTTCGATCGACGATAATGAACAAGGTCTGACACATAGTGGGGGGTCAACTGGTCCTGGAAGTCTAGGTGGTAAGGGTAGTGGAGCAGTTGGAGTAGCAGCTGCCACGGCTGCTGCCGCAGATGTTCTACAGGATGACGAAGATGATGAGGATGAAATATTAAATGAGATAGATGTAGATGATGCTGACGATATGGAAGATGAAATGTACGACCTTGTCGGAGAATCAACACTTTCACGTCACCAACATTCCCGATCGCACCTTGCACGCCGTCATCGATCTGCACACCTTGTTTCTGACTTTGACGATGACATAATGAGCGATGATGACCCTGTAGATAGGGTTCATACTGTACCTCCTACTGTTAGACCAGGGATTATTTCACACAGATATCAGGAAACCCATTCACGACGGTTGCAACAAATAAGTGATAACAAATACACGTCACATCATACTCGGCGGAGTTTCAGTAACCGCAACCATCGTCACCACGACCCTGACTCTATGATATAATTACCTGATGTAACTTTGAATTAATAACACTAATTATATAAAAACTCCATTGTAATCAAATTTTAATTGTGCTCACCCCTCCATAATTTGTGACCTTGAACTGTATTTCTTACTTTTACTTATCTCAACCATCAATTTTACCCCCTAATTTTCATTTGATTGTAATTTTTACTCGTCACCTATGTTTTATATTGTTTATTTCTTCCTCGTATTTTATCGGATTGGAATTTTTATCGTGATTCCTTATCCTTTATTGAATAGATATAATTATTAAAAGTTGAATTGTCAACTACATTGTATTTTACATTTTACAAATACATAGTATTGTACAAAGGTTGTCCTCATTGTTTCACTCGAGCATTATATTACTGTACATAAGCTTACCGACACGCACGTACTCGGTCCGTTCTTCTTTCGTCATTGTTCTAACAATTGCAGGAGTTATATCTAAGTACATCATAGTTTGACCACCGACGACGACTTCAAACTTCTTTGATTTAAGGTCGACGACGGATTTGTTATCTAGGTAAAAGAGGAAAATAAGAAGACTAATATTTCCCAATAACAAGGCAGTTGACATCATATAAACACGAGGGTCATAGCTGACATGATTCATTTCTGAATTAATTAAGTGGTAAAAATTGGAACTTACTTGCATACAGAGCAATGGCAGCGTCAAAAATTCTAAATTCTTATGTTCTGACGATCTGACTACACCCGATCTACTAGTTTGACCTATGTAGTTGGCCTAACTAATATTGATTGTAAGGCATTATGTGCAATATAATATTCTGTCTAATTGGGTCGACAGGGTTCTTTAACCTACAGAGCTTGTTTCTGAGTGAGTTTGTAGGTTTTAATATCCCTCTACTACCAATCAAATCAGGAGATGAGAAGTAGTGGAATCATATAAAGGAAGTTGGAAAGTTATGTCTGTCTGGATTCAACATAGAACTTGGCACCGAAGTGCACCAGTTCGAGTTGCCACGTTCCAAATAGCACACAAAGGTAGACAAGAAGATGAGTGAAGAGAATCAATAGAGTTTAACAGGTATAAGAGTGAAACAGAATGGGTAATGGTAGAAAGAAATATGAAAGATTACAGAGACTGAATACATCCGCGCCATTGACAACGATTTTGAGCCATGTCACCTATTGTCTCCAGCCATTGATTCCTAGAGTCCCGAGGGCCCCAACCCGGAAGTCTGCATCTCCCTACCTACCTGACTCAGTTTAACTGTCAAGGATTTCATGGATTGATGCCATGTTTTTGTTTGGCCACCACTTACTCTTTTCCAACCTGCACCTATATCAGCTAGTAATGCCCGTCGGGGGAGGCTATGGTTAGGCATGCGCAGCACGTGACCTAGCCATCTTAGTCTATGTAACTTTATAGCCTCGTCGATTGATTTTCCCTCTTTGCCCAACACTACGCCTAACGTCAACATTACTTACCTTATTAAACCACCTAACGTGAGACAGAGATCGCAGACATCTATGATCGAAAGCAGTCAACCTTTTCATGTCTTCAAATCGTATTGGCCATGTTTCAGAGCCATAGAGAAGGACGGAGCGAACTGCTGAGCAGTACACACGTCCCTTGGTTGATAACCGGATGTCACGCCTACGCCAGAGATGGTGTAAGTCAGCGAAAGCAGCTCGAGCTTTTCGGATCCGTGCTGAGATTTCATCGCCAATCAGTCCGTTGGTGCTAATACAACTTCCCAAATAGGTGAAGTGGTCAACATGTTCTATCACTTCACTCCCTATCACTAAGTTAGGAGTTGACGTAGTCCAGTCCTGTAGCAGCATCTTACATTTTGCAGGGGCGAATCGCATGCCAAACATACGAAGATTGCTGCTCAAGGTGTTCAGAAGACTCTGCATTTTGTCAGCATCCTCCCCTAACAGGACTATGTCATCTGCATATTCTAAGTCCATAAGACTATTCCCTGGTAACAAGTCGATTCCTAAGTCATTACGTTCAGTTAAGGATACTTCCATCAGCATATCTATGATGAAGTTAAACAGAAATGGGGAAAGTGGACATCCCTGTCGGACACCACTGGTTGTTACCAATTCAGATGACAATTCCCCATAAGCCCTTACACGACTACGTGAGTTTGAATAGAGTGCCTTGATTAGTGCAATGTACTTTCTTGGCACTCCCTTCACAGTCAGACATTGCCATAGTACCTTTCGATCCACGGAGTCGAAGGCCTCATTCAAGTCAAGAAATATGGCAATTGTTGGACGCCGAAAAGTGTGTCTATGTTCTAGAATCTGTCGGAGACTGAAGATATGATCTATGCATCCTCTACCTGGTCTAAAGCCTGCTTGATTTTCCCTCGTTTGTTCCTCCCGAGTTCTGCTTAGTCTATGCATGATTACTGAGCCTAGGATTTTAGAGACTATGTTCGTTAGGCTGATCCCCCTATGATTATCACACGAGGACTTGTTTCCCTTCTTGAATATCGGTATAATAAGTGACTTACCCCAGTCTGATGGAGCCGTCTCTGATTCCCAGACTTTGCCTAGTACCTCAGTTAATCTACAAACTAGTATGTCACCCCCATATTTAAACACCGGAATAATTCCGTCGGGTCCTGCCGCTTTGCCTCGTTTCAAATTACAGATAGCTTTTGTGACCTCACAGACGGCGGACCAGTGTCTATATCCCATTCGGGTGTGTGCTGGATGTCGGGGAGGTTCAGTGTGGCTGTAGGCAAGTTAAATTGTCCCTCAAAGTGTTCTTTCCAGCGTTCAAGACGTCTATCCTGAGAGCTAATTAAGGAGCCATTTTTCTCAGAAATAGACTCACTTATGATTTGCCTGATGAGTCTAAAAAGTTGCCTATCGCCGATGCTTTTTCCATCTCTTTCGCCTTTGTCAGCCACCAATGTTCACGTTCCTTGAGGAGACTTTTAGTAAGTTTCCTTTTGTGCAGCTTTCGCTCCTCATTGAATTCAGAGCTCGCCGGAATAAGTCTTCTAGCATCTATCAGTTCGGATGTGAGTGACTTGATATGATTATGAGCGATAAATCACACTCAAAACGTTACCACTAAGTTCTTCGTTCTTCATTCACGTGTTATTAGTTTGTTTTAAGAATTCCTGATGCAGCCGTGAGTAATTCCATTTCATTTTGAAATCTAGTGGTGGTGTTTCACTATCTGTGGAAAGAGCATATTTGTTTCATTTTCATTACACTAAACTTGTAATGAGATTATCATCTGGTAGATAGTGAGTGCTATTGATTTTTAGTAGGCTTTTTAATAAATTCACGGTGTTACTTTCAACCTAACCATTATTCAAATTTTTTCCCCAGTTCTTCTACAAGTTCGACGATCGTACACGCGCTTGACTCATTTTCGAGGTTGTTCCGATGATCTTCGATCTCTTCACATTTTGTATGGTGTAAAAAGTTCTCAGCAGTGATCAATCCTTATTTCCTTCTATTTTCAAAAATCAACTCTATCTTCTCTGAAATTGCAGATTACCTCACTGTTTCGAACAACCCTATCCATTGTATTGAAAATCCTTTATCACTATTATGTTTCAAAAAACCCTTTTTATTCCCATTTTTTAGATATCAATGAAAAATTTCAAATCCTTCCAAATATAATAGAAATTATCTTTGAAATTTATCTTGTTTCTATATGATGACTTTGTAACAAGCGGTGATTTTCACGTATCCACTTCAAATGATGTGATAATGTTTGACAGTAGTTAGAAAGTCGTAGAGTATCAGTGACGCTACTTCAGGTTTTCTATCACCTCTGTGAATCATATGGTATGAATTACCAATATTTTCTTATTAAGACAAATCTGCTGTGAAGATAGAGCAATCTGTGGGCAGTAATTCTTGAATTGAACTGTAATATCTAATTGTCTCTAGTTTCCTCCTGATGAAGAAATATTTCTTCATAGTTAATTATTTGACAGACAACGTTATTATACTTCTGTAGACTTCTTCTCTTGTTAAGTTGTATGTTTTCACTACTGCCGTCGACTTGATGTCATGACCGAAATTGTTACGTAGTTTGTATTCAGAATCCGAGTCTTCCTGAAAAGCCTAGCAGTCTTGGATCATCGGTGCTGTAGTATATTCCTATGCATAATTGGTATGATTATGAACAATAAATATTTGTTCAAAACGTCATCCGGTAAATAATACTATTTCACTGTGTGAAACATCTGATAAAGAAACTAGTATGGAATTATTGCTGCATGAATTGATTCCGTGGTTCTTGTTGGATTCATCGTCAGTCTGCCCGACCGATAGCTGCTACGTTGACGTGATGGTGGGGCTTGCACATCAACAAGCTACACTGGCTTGAACAAATGTTCCTGCCGGTCCTATCAAGCCAGGAAGGTTGTTAGGATAGCGATTAGACTAAAAGCAGTTAGCGTCATTGTGTAAGAATCTTTCATACACTATGCTGGGGGGTCTGAAGGCGAAGTCGTACTGCTGGGGAACAAGGATGTAGCAGCAATAAGGTGTTTCCCTCAGATTACCAGGATGCCAGCTATGCTGTCTCTCCACTCTGGAGAAAGTGAGTTAGAAAAGGTAGACCCCAAAAATTGTACATCTCGACTTACCCTACGGTGGTCCGTAACCGGCGGTAAGTTTACTAATATGGAACCAAACCAAGAAACCATTTCATACAGGCTGTGTGTGGCCAGCCTCAAGCAGTTGTCCCCTGGGCTCAGTGGTCACGCAACACTAACTCTCTTTCTGTTTCAGATACCCAAAGAATCAATCAACTTCCACGGGGTGGGCAGCCGGGAAGTAACAACCGCCCAAACACTTCCAAAAGCACACGAAGCCTTCCTGAGCAACATTCTCCTCTATCCATATCACCGTATTCCCCTACTACAGTTAGTAGAATTCTGCAGGCTAGCGAGTCATCTTCAATTGACTCTGTGACCACAAATAACGATGAGAGCCATAGAAACACCCCAGATAGATAGCCTTTTAAAGCCACATCGCCAACTTCATATAGGAGCATTGAACGTCAGGACCCTCTTCCAAGTCGGAAAACAGGGAAGACTAGCAAGAACTTTAACATCCCGACGCATGGATCCATGTTGTGTCTCGGAGACGCTCATACAAGACCCGAGTGTGGTCATTCATTTAACCTCACCCGGTCATAAGGTGAATCTGAAAAATTCACTTTAAGAGTGTCCGGAGACCCCTCAGCTAGCTTTCGAAGACTCACAGGTGTAGGGATAACACTGAGTGTTACGGCGGAAAAATCACCTACTGACTGGATCGCAGTAGATAGACGTATGTGTGCGGTCCGTCTGAATAGGTCCGTTAAAAGAAGGAAAGACGGCGCTACCCGTCGTTGCCTTTTCGTAGTCTCCGCTTACGCCTCAACAGACTGCGGTTCAGATGAACTAAAGTATGATTTCTACCTGAAACTGTCTAATTTTCTGCAAAAAGCAAAATGTTCAGATGTAGTCGTTTTAGCAGGCACAACATACAGCTAGCTGTAGACACAGCTGTAAAAGCTGTTAATAGCCTGAAACTTAAATGAAGTAAGAGCCATTGGATTTCTACCACCTCATCCGAACTGAATGACGCAAGAAGATTGATTCCGGTGAGCTCCGATTATGATGAGGAGCGAAAGCTACTCAAACGAAAACTAACAAGAAGTCCTCGCAACGACCATGAACAGTGGTGGGGGACAAGAGCGAAAAAGATGGAAAAGGCACCGGCGGTTGGCAACACCAAACTATTTAAACCTATCAGGGAATCAGGTGGTAAAGGCAAATGACAAGCGAAACAATGACTGAGAAAAAGGGTATCATAATTAGCTCCCACGATAGACGACTGGAACGCTGGAAAGAGCAATATGAGGAACAGTTTAATTGGCCTACAGCTGCACTCAACCTGCCGAACATCTGACACCTCCCTGAATGGGATATAAACAGGTCCTGAGGTTACTAAAGCTGTCACTAGACGGAAACAAAGCAAAACAGCAGGACCTGATGGAATGACTCCAGAGTTAGTTAAGTACGCTAGAGACAGATTACTGTCTGCGTTAACAGATTAGGCAGCGTCTGGTAATCAGAAGAAGTTTCATCGGGTTGGTGTAAGTCACTGATTATCCCCATATACAAGAAGGGAGACAAGTCTTCCTGTGACAATCACAGAGGGATTAGCTTGACTAATATAGTATCTAAAGTCCTAGGTTCAATAATATTGTTTAGAACAAGTGGTCATCGGGAGGAACAAACACGAGAGAAATAGACAGGCTTTTAGACCAGGAAGAGGATGTATTGATCATATCTTCACCCTTCGACAGATTCTAGAACATAGGCATTCCTACCGGCGTCCAACAATCATTATATTTCTTGACCTGAAGGCGGCATTCGACTCTGCCAACCGAGAGGTACTCTGGTGATGCTTGCTTGTGAACGGAATGCAGAGAAAATACATTGCACTGATTAAGGCACTCTACTCGAACTAATGCAGCCAGATGAGGGATTACGGCGAGCTGTCATGTGAACTGGTGACGACTAGTGTTGTCTTACAGGGATGCCCATTATCCCCATTTTACTTAATTTCATCATAGATATACTGATGGAATTAACCCTAACTCACTTCAGCGACTCAGGGATCGACTTGCTAACAGGGAATAATAGTCTCGTTGACTTAGAATATGCAGATGATACAGTCCTCCCTCCTAGGTTAAGACGCCGTCTTTTGAACACTTTGAGTTACAATCTGCAAATGTTTGGCATGCGTTTCGCTCCTGCTGTCAAATGTAAGATGATGCTACAGGACTGGACTACAGCGACTCCGAATTTAGAAATAGGGAGTAAATTGGTAGAGCGTGTTGATCATTTCACTTATTTGAGAAGTACCATCAGCCCCTACGGGTTGATCTCTGACGAAATCTCAGCTGAGTACGGATACAGAGGGCTAGTTTCTCATATGTCAGTTTACACCATCTCTGGCGTAGACGTGATATCCGACTATCGACCAAAGGGCGGGTGTACTGCTCATCAGTCTGCTCCGTCCTTCTTTACGGCTGTGAAACCTGGCCATTGAGAGTGGAAGACATGAAAAGATTAGCTGTCTTTGATCATAGGCGCCTGCGTTCTGTATCCCATGTGAAGTGGTATAATAAGGTGAGCAACACTAAGGTTACGCGTCGAGTGCTAGGTAAGGAGGGGAAATCAATCGACGAGGCTGTGAAATTACATCGACTGAGATGGTTAAGACATGTGTTACGTATGCATAGCCATCGCCTTCCTCAATGGGCGATGTTAGCTGACATAGGATGGATCAAGTTGGAGAAGAGTTAGTAGCGATCAAACCAAAACATGGCACTAATCAATGAAACCCACAACTGTTAGTTTAAGCCAGGTACGAAGGTGTAGACTTCCTGGTTGGGGACCTCGGGAAGGTAAAAACCAATGTTTGGAAACAATTGGTGATAGAGCTCAAAATCGTTCTCAGTGGCGCAGAAGCATGCACTCTTTGTGAATTATGATTTCCATTGAAACTATATTGTTCTTCGTTATTACTATAACTTTGTCCCACACCACTGTTTACTGTCTCTATTATGCATTTCTTCTAGTTTCTTCTCTTGCTTTGCGTGTACATGGAGTGTGGCTACATCAACTGCCGCACATCGGTGCAAAGTTCTATGTCGAAAACAGAGAGTCTGGAGAGACCAGGTTTCAAACGCGTAGTGCAAGATGTGTGCCACCCTAGCCTTCATTATATGGTTGGAAATCCCATCCGTCACCCCTCCGCCAGTACTCACACAACTATCCAGGTACACAAATTTATCAACAACTCCAAGCTGTTCACCCGCAAGAGTGAGAACAGGTACAGGCTCCTGCCAATCTTGTAACAGTACTTTGCACTTAGACGGCGCAAAGCACATACCATACTTACAGACACTGATCGCCAACTGATTAAGTGCGATTTGGGCAGCCTGCATGCTATCGCACAGTAAGACGATATCGTCTGCATACTCGAGGTCGAAAAGTCTATCTCCAGGTAGCAGATCTACACCACCTTCACGCACATCCTTCAGAGCTGACTCCAGAATGTCATCGATGGCAAAGTTAAAGAGAAATGGAGAGATTGGGCAACCCTGTCTAACCCCACTGTTGGTTGGGAACAGTGGTGATAGTTGGTTGTATGCCCTAACTCTACCTGAGGTGTTTCTGTATAGGGCTTTCAGGATGTTAACAAATTTCTCAGGTACACCTCTCTCTAACAGACAGTTCCAGAGCACAGTTCTGTCCAACGAATCGAAGGCAGCCCTAATATCAAGAAACACAACGATCGTTGGCCTGCAATACGTGTGGCAGTGTTCTAACAGCTGACAATGCATTCAAGACCTGAGCGAAACCCAGCCTGCTCTTCATGAATCAATCCTTCACGTATTTTGCACAGCCTGCGAAACAAGGCAGCAGCCAATATATTAGACGCGACTGGTAGCAGATTGATAACCCTATGATTGTCACATGAGTTACATAGACTCTTTTTAAAGATGAGGACAATAATGGCATAGTTCCACCTTCAGTCTCCAATACTGAATAATCCAGTTAAAGTCATTACAAGAGTCTTGCCACCATCTTTAAAAAGAGCCGGGGGTAGATTGTCTGGGCCGGTTGCCCTATGACGTTTTAGTACTTGAAGTTCCTTATGGACCTCCGCTTCGGTTGGTGAGTCGGTAATAGCCGAATGAGTGCATCAGGAACAAATTTAGCATACTGAATGACTTCAATTATTGATGAGTGATGACTAGCAGTGGGACCCAAGATGTGCATCTCGTCCTATTCGGGACTCGTCACCTGGATGTACCTGCATTCCCTAGTGCCCATAGTTTCAAACGCCAAATCGTTGTCTTCTAGACCACTTGGGCTACGAGAGCCACATCCTTATTGTGCAACGGGTCTTATTAATCATTTAATTCAATTTAGATTTAGGACAAAGTGCGCATCCTGGATTCCACTGCTAGTCACCATCCACAAATTGACTTCAAGTTACATGACCAGACATTGTCGAAGAATCTGCACAATAAGCCGACATGGAAACCTGAGACCGAGCACTTCAAGACGATTAATCGACGGGAAAATCTAAATTGCTGAATGGCTGCTTGAACTAAGTACGTGAAGTTGCTTAACTGGTGAAAGCTGCAAATGTGATTGCTTAATAATAAGCACTTGTAAGCAACCTACGGTGACGTAAACAAAAGTCACGAACATAGATGTTTGGAGTTTCAGATACAAGTAGGGGGGAAAGAAGAAAAGAAACCTATCAGTAGAGAAGCGAACGAATCGCGGATATGGTTTTCAAATTGTTTTTTAATGTTTTATCAGTGCACCAACCTCCAATATGTTGTTATGCACATAAGAATAGCATCATGTACAAATGAACCGAAATCAATATAAAAATGGGCATCGTTTGATTGTTCGCCTGCCAATAGGTTGACTCAGCGATCCCGTTTAAAGCGCTATGATAAAACCATTCGGCTTCTAAGTGGAAGTAGATCTAAACTCTAGACCCGCAAGGCGTGGCCAGCAATCTCACGCGTATGTATATGTGGTGAATAGACAAAGTCCTCAGTATGATACTAATTTGGCAGCCTTTTTTCCTCAGAGGAGCTGGCTGGACACTAGTGACTAATACTCTAGCGAACGAATTTCGGCTTGCAGCTGCAGTTACCTGTCTGGAACTGAAGTTAGCGCTTGAATGCCTCAGAAGCATTTAAAGAAACCAAATCTTAATTTATTGAGGTGTCTTGTTTAAGTTGACGTCATTTCTCCTAGAATTGATTCTGGTAGTGTTAGCCTTCTGAAAATACCAACGGCGTTGACTAACGTAAGAAATTCTGATTCCGATTAAACCAGATTTCAAATTTCACTTTTATTAATCGCAACTTTCACCTAGAATCGAATATTCCAGTTTAGGTTTCAGTGCAATATGCAGTAATGTACGCCACTGAATACCACAACGTTTAACTCGCATTCCAAAAGTAAAAAAAATTTATTTCGGCCTTGGACATCGGAAGATCTAGTTCAGCTCTGGAAGACTGCTCCATCAACACGAAGCAAACACAAACAGGAATATTTAGCTATCAACCGGTATTGACTGGGACTTACCTGTAGAGGTAGATAAATTTGACTGGGCAGGAAGTTTTTGCGGATTGTTGCGGTCTAAAGAAAGCAACAAAAATTGTAAGCATTAGATCCGTAAATAGGATATTGACTACGCGTCCCTTTACTTACTTGAATTAGTTTTAGAGGTGTTGTGAGTGGGCATTCCACGTCTTTCGTGAACTAGCAGTAATTGCATAATGTCACCAGAAGCGGTTGATGCACCACTTGTTGCATTTGTCATATTAGCATCTGAACTGCCTGTATCTGTCAATTTACTTTGGGAACCACTATTATTTGTAACTGTAGATGAATTGCTTCCATATGCCGACGGTACCCTTCCAGGCGCTAGCGTTTGTGTTACGGAGTCCTCAGAAGTATGACTTGGATGTAAATCTGTTGTACTCGGAAATACTGTTGGCTGCGATTCAGGATCACCATTGGCTAAAAAGTATTGATAGAATTCAACAGTGAATTACCGTGTCATAAATAAGTAAATTCTATATTACATTTTTAAGTTAATGGTGGCTAACAACATAATCTAGGAAGCGCGTCTCGTCTCACTTCGAACTCATCATCTAGACATATTCGCATCCCCAATAAGTAGTGATGTTCTGAATATGACTCTAATTCAACACGTTTTGTTTCAAACACCGAAGCATTATCCATTAGGATACGAGAGCCACCTTTTACTCAGTGGATACTGCCTATTACTAGTCAAGATTTTTGTGATTCGAATTTCCGTTGATTGACTTTATTGGATCAAACTGCTGAGTCAATGCAGACGTGTAAGCTCCCAATACGGATTCTCCATCAATACTTGACATGATGTTGCTCGGTTGATCCAACAACAGGAAATTCATATAATTATTTACACAAATAGGTAAAAGTTAGACACTTATTAGAAAAGCATATTAAGGAGAATTCTGCGAGACTTTCTTATTATTATTATTCCTTAGATTCCGAGTGGAACATAGGGTTTCAACAACACATCTCCACTTTCTCCTATTTTCCGCTATCCTCTTCAGTTGAGTCCACGATCGCCCATAGTCTCTTACCATTTCCTCGCAAGATCTCCTTCATTTCGCTCTGATACCGACGACCCACTCGTCGCATCCCACCGGAATTCCACTTGAGGATCTGGCGCGCAATGGCATCCGACGGTTTGTATGTTCGATCCATCTCTGTTTTCTCCCACACATTTACAGGATTTCATCATGAGCTGTCCAGTACTCCCAGGTTTTCCAATGGTTCTCTAACTAATGTCAGCTCATGATGAAATCCTGTAAACCAATCAAATCCCTACAAACCAACACTTGAATAGCCTACACATTTGTTGAGCGATCGGCTCTTGGTTGGTTTGTTCCCACAGTTTCTTGTTGCTTATTGTTCCTGGCCATTTGATCTTCAGTACGGAGCCAGTGAAACGGGCAGCTGTTGATGAAAGTCTCTAACTGGCTGTTGAAAATCCATGTCGTGACATGCAATGCAAATTTCTCACCCGTATAAAAGGATCGACTTGACATTCGTGTTGAAAATCCGAATCTTGTTTATTCTGAGTGAGAACAGAATATTTCCAAACTGGTATTAGCTTGATGAAGGTGTATCTTGCCTTCCGGTTCTGGCCTTGACATTTTCATCCTTTCCGCCTGTAGTTGAAACAAGACTTCCTGACCAGATAAGTGAAGGAGCCAACTTCTGTTAAATCCCTCTCGCTGATAGTGATTAGTGTTGAGTTTCGTTGGTTATCTGCATCATCTCCGTCTCCAAATTCTCTATGTTCACCAGGAGTCCTGTCTACACAGCCTGCTTCTTCAGCCAGTTTGTTGGTCTCGCCTGCAGCTCTTCGAGTTCGTTTGAAATTAGACATATTTCATCCGCGAAGTCCAGATCTTCTAGAGTCTTCTAATCAGTGGTCCAGTGTATTCCTGACTCCTCGCCCCCAACAGTCCGACGCATAATCCAGTCCACCACAATTAAGAATATCATCGGTGATAATAGGTGACCTTGTATTACTCCCGTGTTCACTTTAGACACCTCTCTGGGCTTCCCGCTGTGGATCACTTGACACGTGACACTGTCGAATAGTTTTCGCACCAGGTCGATAAAGATTTGGGCACTGCATGCCGTAGTGTTGAAGTAGTTTCAAAATTACTTCTCGGTCAATACTATCGAAGGAGTTCTCGAAGTCAATGAAGTTGAGGTAGGGAGAGATTTGAATGTTATTCTATGCTCTGTTCGATAATGACGCGTGGAGCTGCAATTTGATCAGCACATGAATTACTTTCCCAGAATTCAGTTTGTTCCCAGTGGAATTCTGCATTCGATGCATATCTTAGTCTCTCCAGGATGACACGACCTAATATTTTGTCTGGTGTGGACAAGAACATGATTCCACGTCAGTTCTTGCACAAGCCCAAGTCATCCTTCTTTGGCAGCTTGACGAGGTAGTCTTTCCTTCTCTCCGAACCTTTGGCAATAATGGCATGAACGCATCTGTCTCAGTCTGTGGGACCGTTCTCGGTGCTTCAAGAAAATTCCGTCTGGTCCTGCTGCCTTACCGGACAGTGTTCAGTGACTTCATCGCATTTAGGATTTCCGCTTTCGTTGGAGGATCGGTGTCCACTACCAGGTGGTTCTGTGCGTGGTGTTGGTGGTAGGGGTATATCTGGGCGATTTGCAGGTGGTGGTCGATTCAAGAATCCTTTTAAGTGAACAGCCCATTGTTTCATTTGTTTCTCCTTGATAATCAGGTTCCCTTGAGCATCTTATATTGGTTTTATCATATGGATAGTCTCTTCCCGGATAGACTCGGTTACCTGATATGTTCTGAGATCCATTTTGCCTGCGCCTTATTCTGCTGTCGTGTCGTAGAATTGTTTTCCGTCATTCTTAGCACTCTTCACTTCTTTATTCAGTGCAGTGTGCATTGAACTCAACTCCTGTTGTCCATTTTTGCATTGAGTCATCTCTTTCACCATCCTCCCCTCTTCTGTTAGCTTCCAGGTACCCATTGTTTGCCACTCCTTTTCCTGTCAATTCTTCCTTCTTGGAACAGTTGTACACGTGTCCTCGTATATCTCCTTCAGGGAGTTAGTTCCAATGTTCTTCCACACAGGTTCCTTCCGTGGTGGTACGTAGTGTCTCCGACTTTGCACTGATCTGATCTGCAGTGAAGGCATTCCTTGTAGTTTTGTCCTTCAGTTTAGGAATGCTGAACTTGAATTGTGGCACCTTGAAGGTTCCTGGAACTAGATGGTGGTCTGAACACACCTCTGCTCCTCTTCGCGAGGTTGTGTCCAGCAGGCTGGTTGCGCCTCCACTTCCTTGAGCAGCATTGATATGAAATCTATCTGGTTTGTGGTGTCTCCGTCAAGCGAAATCCATGTGACTGGCCTTGTGTATATCTTGTGCTTGTACACACTGCCTCTGATCACCAAGTCACTGAACGCAAAGAAGTCTGTCAATAATGCTCCGTTTTCATTCATTTCGCCGACCCATGATGAGTTCTCATCCTGTGTTGGTATCTGCCCCAAGTTTGGCTTGCATTCATATCGCACGTGAGAATTTTGATGATACCATTTTGGACGTTATCGACTACTGTTTGTAGTTGTCTGTAAAATTCTTCCCTCTTCTCTTGTTCCACGTTGTTTGTGGCACTGTGTATGGTAATTGTAACCTCGCTTCCTCCCTTTTGAGTTGAGTCTTGATGTCATGACCATGTGGGACGAAATTGGTTCCCACTGGATGAGAACTTTGGTTGCTACTGGTGACATCATGATAGCCACTCACTGCCTCAGTGTGCTCGTAGTTGTCATCTGGATGACCGGAGGAGGTAACTGACTCTACAATTGACAATTTGGCTAGTTCACATTCATTCCATCTGGTCTCGCAGACATCCAGCACTTCGATGCCATATCTTCGCATTTCTTTAGCTACCTGGACAGCCTTCTCAGCTGGCAGCGTACATTGTACGGAAATTCCACATACCCATTCGTATTCTTGCTTTCATCAAGAAAAGACACATTGGCTGGCTGGCTTCCCGAAGGCTTTCACCAGCTGGCTGTGTCATTTCGCCTCTCCGATTCCAGCGAAGAATAAGATTGTTATTTGAATTTTTTGTAATTTTAAAATATATTTTCTGTGCGTTGAATTTTGTCTAGCATTTTGATAGTTTTGGTTGTGTAGGATCGCCAGTTCCGCGCCCAATCCCCTGTCTGTACCCGGGCTTGGGACCGGCTAGAAAAGTAGCAAGTTAGTTAACTAGGCTTTTTAATAATATTTATTTTAATAAACGATAAAACGAACAGAAGCAAAAGCTATCCAGCAATGTTAAGGGATTAAAGCACTGCCTTCTAGTAAATGTTTTGAGTATATTTACAACTGGTGAAAACAGATACTTGTTGCTGAGGAAATGAGTAATACGGATATGTTGTGCAGCTGGTACAGTTATAAAAATGTTCTATCACCACCTACCTGTTGTCGGGTTGAGACTTATGGTGCTGTCAGACATCCAAATAGGTCTTTCTTTAACTGACTGAGTTAAGCTACTTGAATTTCCACTTAGTACAATCCGAACACTATTTTCAGTCGGACCAAATGTAGATAAGTTTCTCTTGTTCGACTCGCCAGAATCCATAGTATCCAAACCAACATACTGAGATGAATTTTGTGTCCCATCAGTGTTCTGACAATGTGAAAACATTCGGACAGCGGTAGTTTTAGACCAACAATCCGTAACATATAAATTCAGTTATTTTAATACCACTGACCTACACATTTTATGTTTTAAAATTTCTCAAAACAGATTGTGGTATGTAACAGTGTTGAAATCCAGCTAGTAAACAAATTACTTAAATTCTCCGACTTTGACTACTGGTTATATGTTAAAATTAATGAATGCATAGCTGTAAAACCTAAGGGAGAAGTTACTGAAGACAACTGTCCACTCTCATTATTCTTCTGAATAATTTGCACAGATATTCAAACTAGAGGAATACAGGTCGTGTTACTCTGAAAAGTGACTCCAGACTTTCATTGAGAACTGTGGTTAATAAATTTCCATCAATTATAATAATACGTCTTACTATAGTAACTAACAACATAACATTGAAGTGCAGATGATATTTACGAGTTTACTGACCTACGTAACGAATCAGAGACGTTTCTATCAGATAATCTACATATCCTACGAGTAATTAAACGAACTGACCCCATAGAGTAGACAAACAGGTTTCCTTAGATTTCACCAAGTCGTTCGGATTTAAGTCTAACCATAGGGAAAGAGAACAACGACTATAACTCATTTACTACCTAACTGCAAGCTGGAGTACTTAACGAAAACAGTACTACATCAACATTTGTGCATATCACAAGAAATTAATCAAAAGAGAGAAACTCAGGGCAATAAATTGTCTTACAGTTAAGTAAACCTGCAACATCACATCACAGCCTATGCGAACTTGTTTTTACTGTTGAACATAAACGAGATAGCTTTATTGTTACCACTTTTATTTGTTCTACTATGTGCACTTCAGCTATTAGTTTATAATCACCGAAAATTCTACTATGCCACATTTAGGTGTAAAAACGTTTAGTAATCAAGATAAACGCAACAATGAAAAGCCTCAGTCGTTGATGCGTGCCTCAACTCGAACGCTTGCATTCGAAATCTCAGAGATATACTTTGAAATAACTCCACCATCTGTTAGCTTAGAATTCGAAAAATATTAGATTACCGTGACATCCTCGCAAGTCGTTTGATAAAACATGAATAAGCTTCTGATAGTTTCAACAGACTTTTTTTGCTATTGTCATATAATAATTACTGATAATTAGGTGCATGACCAACAACCATGTGATTAAAAATTAACTGCCCGACCATATATAAAACTCAAAAGTTTTACATAGCAATACTAGTGTTCGGTTTAATGGTGACCAACTCAATATTAAAAGTCTACTGGACATGTTGGTCATGGGCTTTCCAGGTAGAGAATTCACAGAATTGAATATGTTGCTTAGAATCTACAAAAATATAATACAAATTAGTGTAAAAAGTAAAAAATTGTAAAATGTTTATGAAGTCTACCATTTGTTAGAAGAGGCTAATCAGGACGCTTATAAACTTACATCATTCAAAGGATCAAGACGACGGAATTCTGGTTCAAGTATAGCCGGTGATAAGTGTATTGCATCACATTCACGAAGCATCATATCGATCGGATCGCGGACCTATGACAAAATATTCATCTGCAAATTAATAAATAAAACATCCGGTACTAAGACAGCAATGTTTAAATTCTACCACACTCGAATCTAATTACATGTGATGGCAGGTACTATTAGAAACTATTTCAAGCAAAAAATTTTGTTTATAATCACATTATTGTTTTCACACGAGCTGTTCAAAGACTAATCAATAAAGTCACAGAACACAAGCAGGATACACAGATCATCGTGTAGTTAACCTTCAATGCTTCAACTGGAATAATTCCTAGATACCTTCGTATACACGTTTCCGTTGCAACAAAAAAGGTGAAAGAAGAAGGAGAACAGTTCAAAAGAAGAGATGTTCAAACTAAAATGTTCAACGAATTAATCGAAGAAAAGTGTCTTGCTAATAAAAAATGAAGTCACTAATCAAACACCATCAACCGTCGACAAAACAAAGTGATTAATTTCTCGACAAGAGCATTAAGCTGTGATGAAATAAAAGTGCTTGGAAAAGGATTAAGATAGATTAAAATTTGAAAATATCATTCATAGTGTAGAAGTAACATTAAATGCAGCAAACACGACAACTGCTGAGAAAGTCAGAGCACAGTGTGAACTGTTATTAAAGCATCAAAAACAGACAGGACTTATTACGACAACATACAATAGCTCTAAAAAGATTGATCAACGACAAAAACGCAGTAATTGCCAAATCAGACAAGGGTAATTCAAAGGTAGTTTCGGACAGATTGGATTATACTATGTTAATGAATATATCCAAACAGGTCAATATGAGCAGATTAAGAAACCTTTAGACATGATTGTTTACCATTGTTTCTTTTAATTCGTAGAGGAAAATAAGGCTTCAGCCACACATCTCGATTACGTTCAGTTCTCTGCCAACATTCTCACCTGGCTCCACGTCTGCCCATATGCTTTCATCTCCTCTTTATATGACCTCCACCATGTCACCCTCGCATTGACGACCGACTTGCCGTTTAACATTCGGGTTCCACCCAAGAACCTGGCGTGTGATTTCACTTGATTATTCATAAGATCAAAAATCTACAGACCCAGTGAAGTCATCTCTGGGTGACACAAAATGGTTTAACTTAAAGTCTAGAACTAACAATCCGAGTAGAATCGATCGTACTTTAGAGATTGGTAGAGTAGGATATACTATTGGGTCAACAGTTGACTTTAGTTATCCAAATATTCAGCATCACTAATATGCCTCACAAAAAATCAGTCAGAATCTAGGTTAAGTAATTCATACACAATGAAACGAAAGGTAGAGGCAATTCAAATAGAAAAAGGTGAAAAAATAATTAGTTTCGGCATAACAAGTTTATGCATTAATGTTCTGAATAATGCAGCTTTGTGGTTAGGAACGAACTGGACATTGATTATGACCTCACACAGAGAACAAAGATCTTAACTGAGGAGACAAAACTGTGTTCACGGCATTCATATTCAAAAACCAAATACAAACCAAACAAATGGAGTAGCGATAGGATCACCTAATATCCCTAATAGCTTGCAGACATGTTTATGGATAGTTGGGAATGTAAAGCACTTAGAAAGCCTAATGCTGCTCCTAAGTTATGGTGGAGATGTATGAATGACACATTGAGCATATTCCTAAATTCATCATAGATATAAACTCAGTGGTAGATACAATGCAATCCACTCTTCAGTCACAAAATGAACATGGTGAGTTATCTGTGCTAGACTGTACACTAAAAGAATACCAGGTGATATAGATGGGTTAGATACTAGCACCTACAGAAAACCAATACATTCCAATAAATACTTAGGCTTTGATTCAACCCAACCGAAATAAGTAAAGTTAAGTGTAGTTTGGTGATTATGCAATCGAACCAGGAGTCTGAATAACCAATTAGGACGTTCAAATAAGTAAAGCAGTCATATAAGTAAAACGTTACCAGTGAACAACTGCCAACCAGATTTTATTCAGAAATCTAAGTACACCTTTGTGAAAAATAAAACTAATAATTTCAATAATAAGGACTTCAAAACCTCAATAGTACTGCCCTATAGAGAAACAATATCAGAGGCTCTACGTAGGATATTTAATAAGGCTGAAATTAAGGTGGCATTTAAACCAGCCAACTCACACAAGAAATAATTTTCTGGCCTTGATGACACGATAGACCTAATTAGGAAAAATATAATTTAGAGAACCCCATGCAATGACTGTGAGGTTCACTACATAGGTCAAACTAGTAGATCAGGATCAACTGGATAATTGAAACAGGAATTCAGCTAGACGTAGAATGATGAAGTATGATTTGAATGATGTGCAAAAGAAACTCAGACACGACAATGCACTCACTTGCATCCAATCACAATCGGGTTAGGCAAGGTAAAAACATTAAAAACTACTACAGTTAAGTACGGAGAGTAGTTAATCAACATCAAAGCCGTGTAATCGGAATCGCGCAAAGCCTATACCAGGTATACGAAAAAAAGGGAATGGGGCTATATAAAAAAAGTTATTAAGTCATGTGAATACATCGATATGCTTCTGGACAATAAATTGTGCTCTGATGATATTAGGTGGTTGGAGGCAATCGGCAGGAAGCCTTGGACCTAGGTTTCGTGCTAGTTGGCACTCATCAGCAAGGCGTTTCTGCAACCTTGAAGGAACTCATGTCCCTTCTGGGATTCGAACCCGCGAAACCAAGTGCTGCAGTCGGAAACGTTACCACTCAGTTATTCGAGCTCGCGATTGACCTCCTGTAGGACTGTAGTGGATATTTTGATTGGACACTAGTAACAAGTGTGATGCGTCTAGTCCTCTGATTGGTGTAGACTGAATTCTATCAGTCAGGTTTGTAATGTGGCCACCATTCTGGTTTAATAAAACTTTGATAAAGCTATTAGCATTAAGCAGCGAGGCGTCAGTAAAAACAATATCCTTTTTTTGATACATTGGAAAATACAAAAAACCTTTATTATAATGGATGTCATATAACCAATGCCCAAATTTTTTAAAATTGTTGAAAAGGAGCTTGGTTGAGACATATTTAAAAAAAATTAAAGTTCACAAGCATCACTTTATTCCGCTTTCTGAACAACAGTTTTTGCAGAATGAAATGATACCATCATTTATTCTGTTGGCTTTTCATCAGCTGTTTATAGCCCAAAGACATGGTTAAGTATATCTACAGAAACAATTTTAACATACTGAGTTCATTCCGAAATGAAAAAACCAATATATGCATACAGTGATTATAACAACAGTCACTTTATCCCAAACAATAATCGTACACAATGGAAACTTTCGGCGTTACGTAATCAAATGCTAGAGAGGATGAAAGAATCCAGTTACCAGGGCAAAGACAGACTGAAAAATGCTTCTTTCTGAACACATAAATCGGGTTTCAGGAGTTTGATAGAGTATAAAACTTGGGCACTGTGGTAGAGTATAACTCTATCATGGATAAGATTTTATTTTGATAAATCACATAGTCTTGTGATATACCAGTTAATATAACTGTACAACACTGTGTGATTTATCAAAATAAAATCTTATCCATGATGGAGTTTGATAGAGTTTGCTTCGGCAAACTTGAGGAGGACTGAGCTTGTTTGCCTGCTGATAATTTTGAACGATCTTGAGACGCTTACCTCATGACCCGTGTCAAGGTGATGCCTAGGGCACTGTTGAAGGCATTTGTTCCCTTTAGACATAAGCTTTTTCGTACATGTAAAGAAAACAGAAGGTATGCCCTTCTTTCTATACAATTTTATTCTGAGAAAACTGTTGTTCTTGCTTTATTCAAGTTCAAAAGCAGGTGAAATTCTGGAACACTAAAAAGGATTTAACTATAAAATGAAGGACCACTTAACGTTTTGGTCGCTTAAATCAAACAGGCTAACCAAACAGTTTAAGTCCTCACACTTTTCCGAGTCAGTTTACATATGAGTATATCCTTCAAGAGTGTTATACTAATATTGAAAACTGATACCACTGTTGGTTTCATTTAACGACTGGCGAGAGAGTATTTACTGCAGTGAATGTTCTTGTTTACCCGTACACCACAATATTAAGTCACTAAATGCTGTTCGTATGAGATGCACCACTGCCGACAACGTTTTACAATTGGTCACAAAGACATTTATTCTCAGCCAGGGTGAAACAGATATTGACCTCATGTAGAATTTATAGCTCAAGCGATATTCAGTCTATGGGCCTACATATCGTCATCCTACAACAATAGACAAGTGCAAGTATTTAAAAATCCGAAAAAAGGATACAATGCCTGATACAGACGTTCCAGAATAGTTTTGGAATGATATAAGCGATCCTACCAATTAAAACACTATTCTCATATAATCCGAAGTGAATTACATTTTTGGGAACTCGACTGGTTTATTCATAAGCAATTGATTGATGTTTCTATGAGATCGTTCAGCGAAATGATAATTCACACTTGAAAATTAGATAACTCGTTCTATGATTTATTTAGATGTCTTCCAACCTGGCTTTGATTACTGCATCACGGATTAAACCGTGATATGTTTCTTACCACCCGATGTGAAGACAGTTTTTGTCTCGAAAGGTTGGTTCCGTAAGCATCTACAACAAAAATTCATGAAGTGGCACACCACTTGACATCAATGACTTCTTCAGCCAGCGTGGCATTTATTTTAGTCGCCAAGACATCTAACAGTTCCCCTCACATTTTAGCAGATTTGTCAGATAGTTTGAATGAGGTGGTATAACAGTACCATTATACCATACCTGCTCCACATGATTTATTTATTATATATGAATAAATGAATATGATGAATAAATCATGTGGAAAAGGTTAAGCATATTGGCACTGTTATTATTCATCATCCCAACTGATAGCTGCTACCTTGACGTGGTGGTCAGGCTTGCACATCGCGATGACCCAACAAGCTGTACTGGCTGGAACCAATGTTCCTGCAGGTGCTACCATGCCAGGAAAGTTGTTAGGATAGCTATTACACTAGAAGAAGTTGCC